GTTATGAATTGCCCTAACTGAACAGCAAATGTTTTTCTACATGTTCTGAGAGGTCACGTGTCACCAAACAAATTGTGAGTTTTTTTTTTGTTACGCAGTAACAATGAAATTTAGTCTCTGTTACGTCTCTAATACAATGAATTCGACGATACGGTGAATTATCACTTCATAGTGAAGTATTCTGAAGAAGAAAAGATAGACATGTTATCAGTTTATTTTGAAGCCGGGAAAAATGCTACACATGCAGAAACATTATACACTACGGAATGTTAGTAAGTCATTAATGTCTCGATTCAGAAAGTGTTCTGATGCAAATGGTCGCCACATCGAACCTTTTCTGTAAATAGACATTAAAATTAAAATATCTCCTAAACTAATGATTTTTTCACATAAAAAGATTAATACTTTTTTGTAAAGAATATGAAGGAGTATCAGCTGATGAAATAAAAAATATATGATTCCATTCAAAAGAACATTAATGAAATTCATATGTCCTTTACACATCTACCTACAGAAAAATATACCACTAGCATATGCTCCTCTCAAAACCATTCAACTTCATACATTTACAAACCTTCAAATTTACAAGACCATAATTTATAAATTTGCAAATTTTCGTGTTCGATATCAAATATCTTCAGCAATTCCGCACGGAATTCTGTAATATCAGAATCCACAGTATGAAACTTTAACACATTTTATTTCAATAAATTATGTAAATTGTTGTATATAATGGTGGTCGATGGCACCAAACGATAAATTCCAGAAATTAGTGGAGATATTATTATGGGACTCCCGATTGCTAACTGAACAAAATTTGTGACCAATAAGTGAGCAGCTCTCTATACAGAATATTGTTTATGTAGATGTGTTCCATAAATAATTAATTTATGGAATTCTCGTTTAACGACTGAATAAACTAATGAGCAACGTTACACAATAAATCGAGAACCTGGATGCTCGTTATTATTAACGATGTTTCAGTAATTATTGTAAATAATATATATTCGTTAATGATACGTGGTCGAAATTATGTTTTAATTTGAAATTCATTAAGAAAATCTTCGTATAATATATTTAATTCGATCATGAAATTTTAAATTCTGATGCTAAAATATATTCCACTTACTAGTAACAATATTTTCTATTATTAGTATAATTTCATTTTACAATGCAAATAATTAGTATTATTAAGTTGTGAAATATTACAATGCCAAAGTACATTTTTACATTTACCACATTTGCTAAATTTTTTACATTTTTTGCATTTCCTGCATTTTTTGCATTTTTTGCATTCTCTACATTTCTCTACATTTTCTATACATAATTCAAAATAATATTCTACTGTAAGCAATGCAAGATCTAATTTGACCACGTAAAGCAAGCATGAAATGTTTAAATGTTTATGGATTTACGCGTATGTATGATGCACACTAATACATATAAATTATAATTGTAAACAAAAATGGAGTACAGAATTATACATTACAACAACAATAAATTAAAGTGACTATTGAATAATATATAACTACGCAATACTAAAAAAAAAATTTATTTTCTAGTTTTTATTTTTTACCAAATTTCCTTCTCAGAAATGCAAACAAAAATTATTCACAGCTCACATTTAAAAGTAAACCAATTTCAAATCTCATTTACCTCTAATTCCTTAAAAACAATCAGCGTCCTTAATAGCAATTAAATAAACAGATTATGATCACGATATGGAGATTACAAATTTATATTTTTCAATATGTAATAAATTTATTGCGTATATGTGACAATTAATAATATTTATATAATAGACAATTCTGTGAAAAATATCTTGATTTCTTCTGCTTATAGTGCCTTTAATAAAAATAATTTTCCAAATTTTCACATTTTCAAGTTTCTTATTTTTCTAAATTCCCAAAAATTTAAGTTTCCAAAATTCTGAATAGCTAAACCCACAAATTCAAAATTTCTGAATTCCAAAATTTCTAAATTTAGAAATTCTCAAACTCGCAAAAATTCAAATTCTCAAATTTCTGAATTTCTAAAGTTTCAAATTCTCAAAAGTTAATGGTTCCAAATTTATGAATTCTCAAATTTCAGAAATCACAAAATTACTACCCTCAATTCCTTAATTTCTGAATTCCTAAATTTTCAAATTTCTAAGTTCTCAAACTTAAAAATTCAAATTTCTGAATTCTCAAATTTCCAAATCTAAAATCTCCAAATTCTCATATACCCAAATCCTTAAATTCCAAAATTACTAAATCCCAACCTCCAAACTTCCAGACACCCAAATCCTAAATTTTAAAAATCCCTAAAATCGAGAATTACCAAACTCCGCAATTGCTCCGCTTACGAGACACTTAATCGTTAAAGTATCCTTCCAAATTTGCCTCCATGATCGTGATCAGAAAAGAAAAAGATAATGTAAAAAAGCAATACTTGCTGTTTTTGTTATTAGCAGGTGGTGCACCTGTGTTAACGGCATCTCCTGGGGCATCTTCGCAGGACTTTTCATAAAGCCTTTGCCGATTCAAATAAAGTTTCGCAAGGGGTTTCATATCCAAACCGGAGGGGTCGTAAAATGGAGATCTCGAGTCATTTGGAAAGGTTGATGTTATGCGACGGATGGGTTCTTGTGGCTCCGTTGGCGAATCTGGTGACTGTAATAAATATAACATTTATTGACATATGCGAAGAACGCCGCATAAAATTTGTATTTCATGAATAAATATGTGCACAGGGTGAGCCACATAAAATGGCTAAATCGAATGTCTATTTTTAAAAATAGCGTTTAAAATAGCTACTTGTTATGAATTATATGATTTTAAAAATTATATTAAGTTATACAATTATTACAATTTTTGTTAATTCTCTGTTGCATTATTATATATTTTGTATTATTATATATTATTTGTTATACATACATACAATAAATATATGCATGTATGTATGTATGCATGTATTACATACATTATGCACATACTGTACATATACCCTGTACATAATATACTAGCCCTTTTAAATAATTTAAGCAAATAATATAACATAATATATTATTTGAAATAAAAATACAAGGTAAATAAAACATGAGAAAATTAATAAAGAAATGAGTGGTACATAAAAGTAAAAAGCATGTGAATATATCTACATAAAACAAGTTATATGTCAAAAAGAAAAAAAATTGAGTGATGGCTGTAAAGATTTGAACTTGTGATACATTAATTCATGAACCCATCACTCTACGACCTTCGCTACCATAATCTTCCTAACATAATTTATATAATTTACATAATTCCATTAATTACGTTATATAGTTTATTATTTGTATACAATGATGTATAAATAATAGTATTAAGTGAAGTGATACAATTAAATATTTAATATATTAAATATTCTTCAAATGAATATTGACAAAAATGATCAAACTTAGATTATTTTTGTGTTAGATTTATCAAAATTGATGCATGGCTGTGATGTCTCTTCATATTTCATTGCTTCATATCAATGTTATATTGATACATAACTTCATTAACATGTACTGCTAAGTACAGTTGTGTCTCTATAATCTTATTTGGATCTGTGAAAGCTCAAAAAAGAAACTAGTTTTAAATAAAAGATTATAGAAATAGTAAATGTAAATTATTAACGATTAAAAAATTAATTTTACTTACTAAGTAAGTGATACCATCATCAGTACCCGCGTCGTAAGGATACAAATTGAGTTCTTTGTGCTCTATCCAAGTACGTTCGGGTGTACACAGCTCTAAACCGGACACACCAACGATCCAATCCGGTGAAGGGTCTGAAAAATGATTTTTACTCCGGTCATTTACAACAAAAATTTCAACGATCGATCGTAATTTCTCAAAGTTTAAATTAAAGGGTAGCAGCGTAACTAAGCGGAAGTTTCACGATAATTTAAGACAAGTTTCCAATGTAATGAAGAAACGTCTCCGTTCAAGATTTCTTGAAGTTATTACAGATTGGAGGGCTAAATGCTTTTCTGCATTGGAAAACGCTTCTGCTACTGACAATTTGCCGATAACGAATAGTAAGTACGTGAATGGTAATTTATAACTAATTTATTTATGTCTTGATAAAATTAAATACATTTGTACTATTTTTTTAGACGTTGATTGTGGAATTCATTGAAGTTTTACTTTAGTTATAATTTAAGACATTACAAATTTAATTGGGTTAAGATATTTCTATTTGGATTAATTTCAAATTTAAAATGATTAATATTTGTGTCAGAATTAATTTATGATAACATAACATTGAGAGAATTAAATAACCAAATTTCTAATTATAATCAGTTTGTAAAAGATATATGTAATAAGTGTAAACAATTTTTAGCAGAGCAGTATTGTAGAAAATAATTTATTATAATTGTTTAATAAATATTATGATTATTATTAATATTACAACTTTTTAATAAATAAATAATTTATTATAATAAGATGCAATAAGTAACAACTTATTATAATAACATTTAATAAGGAACAACTTATCTAAAAATCATGTTTAATAGAGTAGTAGATTTAATTAATAATTTTTCAGTGAGACCAAGTTTTTAATTGAATAATCATTTCAGTAATTAATAATTGAGTTACAAATAATTTTTAATATAATGGAGACTTCAATAAATAATAATTTAGCAAGGTATAATAGTAATTATTAGATAATAATGCAGCAATAAATAGTTTTTAATTACGTAAGTAATAATTTTGCAGAAAATAATTGTTAATAAAATAATAATTTCACTACTTATTTATTGATCAAATAAAATTTTAGTAGGTATAATTCTTATTTTCCTCAAAAATAACCTTACCAAGCATGGATACCAAAGACATTAAATGATGCTTTCGGTCAACACGGAAGACTGCAAAAGTTTTACCAGTAACGTTAGGATAGCTAATTCCTCTGGCTTTAATAATCGTCCTGATATGTTCACTCTAAAAACAAGTAATAAAATTATATTTAACGATTTTACCATTTCTGTGTATAGCTTTTTATAAATATAAAATAAATATCTATGATAGTTTCATATTTATAGAATTACTGAAGTTTGTAATTTTAATTTTTACAATATTGAAATAATAAATATGAAATAAATATCTACAGGGTGTTCAATAAAAAACATTCAATATTTAGTCGAAAGGTCAACCGTTTTTGAGATATAAATATTTTTTGCTAGTATCATGATTGACTTAGTTGCCTCCATCGCATCCGATGTTTATTTTAGTGTTTATAAATTGCGTCCTGAATGTCGACATTACATTTCATTGAGAATCGGTCAGTTATGAACCGGCAGTTGTAGATAAAAATGAACCTTCTGTAAACATCAAAATTTTAGTAACAAGTCAATCATGATACTAGCAAACAAAAATGTTTATATCTCAGAAACGGTTGACCTTTCGACCTACGTTTACTAAAGCTTTTCAACTCAATACAGTGTGTCCTATATCCCATATAAATATTGAACGGGTTTTTTTTAAAACCCAGTATATGCCTTTATTTTGGTAGAGTTAGTAAAAAATTTTAGTTTTTAGAATATTGAAATAAATATATTCCATTTATTCTTTTATTCAAATTACTATTTTAACAAAAGTGTATACTCACCTGATCTTTTAATTCAGATTCTAATTTTCTAGTTGATCCACGTTCAGCTACTTGCTTCAGGCCTGCACTGGCCATGCCATTGTATTGCCAAAACCTGTAGTCTACTGTGTGCGATGCTCCAATAACGTCGGAAAATCGAATAGTCCAACCTTTACTAGGAAAATCCTATACAAACCATAAAAAAACGAAACGGTTGTTAACGAAATATGTCGGTCAACAAAACTCACAACGGAATTTTACGAAAACACAATTTTTACAAGAATGAACAAACTGTTAAAATGTAAATGTTTTGAAACTTTAAAAGAATGACTGGGATAAGAATAAAATAATAAAGTTACAGTAAAATTATTATTGAATATTACAAGCTTTATGTGATCAAATTTACGTTCATTTGAATCTATACTCTTTGAAATTGGCGCCAAATTTGAGGTATTTAAATGTCCTCATATTATATCGCTGTCGGTGATTTCATTGAATCATGTATAAACTTTACTGCAAAATTCCAAATTTCCAAGTCTTCAAATTCTAAAATTTTAAAGTTCCACTTCTCAAATTTTCAATTTCTAAAATTCCAAAATTCTTAAGCTCTAAAATTTACAAATTCTAAAGCTTTAAAATTCGCACATACTCAAATTTAAACATTTTTAAATTCTCGAGTTTCAAAATTCTCAACTTTTCCAATTCCAAATTTCTTAAGTTCTAAAATTATCAAATTCGAAAGTTCTAAAGTTTTAATATTATCACATACTCAAATTTAAAAATTCTCAAATCATAAAATTCTCAATTTTTCAAATTCTAAAATTCTTGAGTTTCAAAATTCTCAAATTCCGAGTTTCTTAAGTTCTAAAATTTTCAAATTCACAAATTCAAAAATTTTCAAATTCTCGAACCCTATAATCACTAAATTCTCTAAATTTTCTAAATTCTCTGAATTCTCTAATTTCTCTAACTTCTCTAAATTCTCTAAATTCTCTGAATTCTCTAATTTCTCTAACTTCTCTAAATTCTCTAAATTCTCTAAATTCTCTGAATTCTCTGAATTCTCTAAATTCTCTAAATTCTCTAAATTCTCTAAATTCTCTAAATTGTCTAATCCTTAAATTTTCAAATCCTCAAATCCTAACATCCACATACCAAACCCTAAATGTTAAAACACGAAAGTCCCCAAAAGTTTTCTGATCCCGTTATATCACGCTAATCCACTATACACAAAAGTTCTATACAGTTACATGAATAGTGTTTATTTTTAGCAACAACTGACAACAAGAAGTTCCCCAAGCATCCTTTGACGGATACTTCAAGTACGACCCGAGCATGTTCAGCTTTACCGAAGAGTCCACCAGCAAACCCAAGATAAAACGTTTTTCCTTCCTCCGTTCGTTCTTTTATCTGTTCCTTTTTTACAGCACAACCGCCATAGGAAGCTTAAACTCACTCGAGATCGATAGCAGCTCACTGTCGATTTTATTTGACGAGTTCTTACGTGCCTTGGGGTGGGTGTTCCTCGACCAAAGTCCCTCGAAAGTAACTTCGTACTTTGCTTCATCGCAAGCGCAACACTCTTGCAACACTGGTCCCTGATCGTCCGCTTCCGCTTTCGAGTCCTGACATATCTTCAGAACTAAGTTCGGATCATCCATGTACCACGTATCCGGCGTTTCCAATATCGTTGCTCTGTAAAATGTCAACACGCGTTACAAGTTAAATCTTCCTAAGAAAAATCAGCCATGCGATTCAAAAATTTCTCATTATTCGAAAAACACGGAATTAAAATTTGGAATATCGATCATTCATATTTCAAAATTAAGTTTGAACACCTTTCGGAAATTCATTGATTACAAGCAGATTGAAAATATGCAGAATAGATATGCAAAATCGTCTGAGATTTGCATAAGTATGCAAATAAGGGAAACATAAATACAACTATGCAAATATGCAAAATGTACTGTATGTATATACATTAGAGCGATGTTTGATTAAACTTTTCATTTCTGAGGGCTGTCGATCCTTATGAATAATATTGTATTTGTTTTTGGTTTAAACAGGATTTGGTAGCAAATGAATTTTGAGAATTTTTGTTCTTTAAGAGAATGTTCTGCTGTTAATGAGAATGTCATATATCATCGAATATTAGGAGCCGGTACCACGAACTTAATAGGGGAAACTTGACTGAGAGAGTAAATCACTGTAATTACCGCATAAATTGATAAATACTGTGCATACTAACAGTATTAACTACGCCGGAAATTGGTAGAGATTTTATGGAAGTTTTTATGAAAAAGTCTTGATATGAGACCGCAGCTTTTAAAACTTACTATGACATAATTTTTAGTAGTTTTTAGTAATATATTTTATGGACATTTGAGCCATTTAGTTAGAAGATGGCTTAATTTTAAAATTGAGATCTTTAAAAGTTTGCGTTTCAGTGAAATTAAAAATAGTGCACTCCTGAAGTGCATCTAAGAATTAAAACAATTCTTATTAAAATAATAGCAATTATTAAGCGAATATGTAACATTTTACCCAGAATGGACTTCAGTCATTTTCAAAATTAACAATTAGATTTGTTATCAAATTTGAAGCAGACCTCTCTAAAAAATTTTACGAGTCAAAGATAAAAAAAACGGTCCTGTACGAATATCTCGTGATCTGCCACCTTCACCATAAAAATAGTTATTACAAAATTTATAGCTTAGGAAATATTCTGCAAGAAAGATGCTATGAGTTTTTTGCGTAGATTCGTGACGAACTTTTTAATCTTCATTATACGAAGAACATTTTCGAAAAGCAGAAAATGTTGCTTCATCGTCCTAAAATCTTTAAATATTGAAGTTTGCGTGCCAATATGCTATCCTCTTTCTTCGGCAGAATAATGGAGGACAGTAAATTCTTGTTGAAAGTTTCGCGGCTTCGCCGCTAGAGGCCTCCACAATTACTGCGAACCCGAGAAGTCGTAAAACAACCTGTCAAACTTCAAATTAGTCTGTCAGACAGTTCATATACAAAAAGTTAGCGGAAGTCAACCACTTTACGATCCTGCGAAGTGCATAGAATTTCTTTTGACCGTAAAAACACTGAAAAGATGGATCGGAGTTTTTATATTATCACTGTGAAATATGGTGAAAGCAAAAGACTTGACAAACAAATTTGCATTATAATTTAAGATAGGAATTGTTGAAGTTATACAGGGTGTCTCACAAGTAGTGTAGGTCCTGAAATGTAGCTGACGTGATTCTGAATAAGAATTCCCTTCGCAAAAATGGGGTTTGAAGCTTCGTTTTTGAATTATTAAGGAAAAACACGGACCAATCAGAGCGCAAGGATTACGCGTGCGCAGACGCGAGAACGGCAGCTTCGGATAACGTGCGGTTATCCAACGCGTGATAATCCAACGCGTAGTAGTGCAATGTGTGGTAATTCCACTCTTAGTAATGCAACGTGTGGCAATCCAATGCGTAGTAATCCAACGCGTAGTAACCCAGCGTGTGAAAACCCAGCGTGTGAATATCCAAAGCGTAGTAATCCAGCGCGTAGATATGAGGATATTCAACGCGTAGTAATATAACGCATGGTAATTCTACACGTAGGAATCTAACGCGTGGAAATCTAACGCGTAGTAATGCAATGCGTGGTAATTCTACGCTTAGTAATGCAACGTGTGGTAATCCAGCGCGAGAATATTCAACGCGTCGTAATCCAACGTGTAGTAATACAACGCATGGTAATTCTACGCGTAGGAATCTAACGCGTGGAAATCTAACGCGTAGTAATGCAATGCGTGGTAATTCTACGCTTAGTAATGCAACGTGCGGAAATCCAATGCGTAGTTATCCAACGCGTAGTAACCCAGCGTGTGAATATCCAACGCGTAGTAATCCAGCGCGAGGATATTCAACGCG